GTATCACGAAAGTCACAGTGAATGCTACCTTCCAAGGAGAGGTCCTAGGGAAGAAGGGTTCTGACACAGGGTGCCCAAAACCTGATCAAAAACGTACACCAAGCAAGCCTATCCCATCCCAGGTCCCCAGTATCCCCCCCACCCCTTACTTCCCCCTTACTTACATTTTAATGTTTTTAACAGTGCTTCAATAACTGTTACGTGAATTGCCCCCCAAATGAGCACACTGACCTGGGATAAAAATGGTTTCCACTTGCTCTTGTCCAAAGAAGGGGTTCTTCATGGAACAGGACACTTCTGTCTTTGAGCTGTCTCTCACAATGAGAGACGCCTCAGTCTGAAACAACCCATCATCATCTTGCGTCTGGTCTTCAGAGAGAGACGGGATCCTCTCTTCCTTTGCATCTTTCCACTGAACTTCAGGCTGGGGAAACCATCCTTTGCCTGTGCACTTCAGCCGTATTCCTCCATCTTCTGGACCCACCATGAAAATATGAGGATTGGAACCCAGACCTGGAGAGGAAAGTCATTTATCTGAGACTTGGACATTTTTTTTTGTCCAGAAGTCCCTAATGTTTCACAGATACACCAGTTGGGGGAGATGAACAAAGCACCATAGTTCTCAATGGATGGAGGGGGTTTCTTTTCTTTTTCCATGAGATAAGTGTGTATCTGAGATTCAAAAATTGTAAGAGCAATGAATCTGATACTGACACTTATAACCAACGCCTGTCTTATCTCCTCTATGCATGCATATCTGCAATTGGCCATAGAAGGATAATAGGAAAGGAGCAGAGTAAAATTTGCCAATGTTGAATTCTTTCAGAAAGAAAATCAGTATATCTACTCTATATCTATATCATATGCTTATTCCATTTCTTAGAGTCTCAAGGAAGACTATCTTTCTGCGCTGAAATTGAGACTTCTTCTGGTCTCTTCCTTAAACAATTTCCTTTTGTAATTTTCCAAGTTTTCTTTCTTCCACTGAGTAAAGATTATCTCAAAGATGGAGGTAACAAGGTGAAGTGAGTCCACGAGGGAGCCAGTATATGTATATGAAACAAAAATTATTTGACATTTTAATAGTGTTTTTAACTGTGCTTCAGTAACTGTTACTTGAATTGTCCTCTAAGTTTTTCTCTCTCCTGACCCCAATTATATTATATCAGCTTCAGGGATAAAAGCAGGAACAGCATAAAAAAGCTCGTTCTTCCTACATTGCTGAATGCGTAAGTTAGTTACAGCAATTATATAATACGGGTGAGAAAAAATAATGTCGATGAGCTAGTGTCCTTAAGCGGAATAAAAAGAAATTTTGATAGAATGAAGGGGAGATTTCTCAAAACCTAAGGAAGAGACAGAGATCTTCAGGTGGCTCTTGAAGAGCTGCATCTAAAGTTTTTAATAATATTTGTAGCAATCTTTCATGAGTCAATGAGGAAAGATGTAACAAAGGCTGGGATGATGATCATCCTGGTGCTAACCAGTGGGGGACCAATCCTGGAGGAGATTC